AATTTTTTAATATCAAATTTTATTATAATATTTACCATATAAATTAAAATTCATTAAATATATATTTTTTGGAATCTGCTTGTTTATTTTGATCAAAATTTATGACAAAAATAACATGCATTTTTTATATTTCAAAAATTCAATTTCCTATTATTTTGGTCAAACTATCTGACCGAAACTTACAAGTATTTTGATGAGCTAAATTTATATACATATTAATGGAGAATTTTTACTTTGATATTATTGATATTTGGATGGGTTTTATGGGATTTTGTTTGATTTTACATTGTTTCCATTATTTGTGTAGGAAAGGATTTAATTGGAAGAAATCATACTTTTTAGAAGTAAATTGAAGGATCAACTTATGCAGAATCCAGAAGTCAGGAACGAATTCTGTTATTTCACCATTGAAGAAATTGCAAAAGGAGGCCAAAAACCCGACACGGGTGTAGTGTCGACACATGATCGGGGTGTCGACACCATGTGCTAAACATCCAGAATCAGGTTCTGTTTTCTATTTTGTGTCAACACGTAATCCAAAGTGTCAGCACCACGTGATCAGCATCTAAAATTCAGTTTCCTATTTCTATTCCAAGTCCTACTTCTATTTCAATTAGGGTTTCTAAAATCCTATAAATACCCATCCAAATTCAGAATTGTAGAAAGCTTTGGGAGGCTGGTTGTAGCCTTCTTTTGGGCACTCTTGAAGGTCAAGATAGGAGATCCATCAACAATAGAAGATCAAGGATTTCAATTATCTCAAATTAGGTTTTATTTTTCCTTAGATATTCTTATGCTCATAACTATGATTGTAGATTTTATTATTTTTATTATGAACTGATTTATTCTATTAAGGCTATGATGTAGCCTAATCAATTTAATATGGGTCTAGTGATTTTATGCTTTCAATTAAAGTTATTTGCATGAGGAGTTTATATTATTGAACATAATGCATTGGAAGTCTAATCACATTTCAATTGATTTAGTGATTTATGCATGAACTTGAGAAAGAATTGCGTAGATTAGACCAATAATAATATAAACCATGTGCTAGACTATGAGACCGAGAGGTAATTAGCTCACATGTGATAGTGGAGGAAGAGAAGAGAGTCAGTAGCTCCCCCTTCTTAAGTTAGAGGTTTCCATAGAATTTAATGCTCATAAATTTGTTTAAAATTACATAGAGATATGATTAATTTAACAAATAAGTGAAGGATTAGCTTGACTTGAGAAAGCTGGTTAATTAATTTAGGGAAATCCGCCATCACATGCAATAACATTCAACAATTTGGTAATCCATAATTTATACTGATTGATTATGGTGAAATCAAGGCCTTAGTACCTCATATCTTGGTTAATTTTATTTTAATTGTTAGTTTCTTTTTGTTATTTTAATTAAAATTCCATCTTTTCGATAGTTCAAATAAATTTAGATTAATTATTTTGGTACTTAATTAGACACAATCCTCGTGGGTTCGACACTCTTATCATCATTATATTACTTGGAGCGACTAGTACACTTGTTAGGGTGATTTTAGTGTATCAAGTTTTTGGCGCCGTTGCCGGGGACTAGTTATCTACATATTAAGATTAATAATTTGGCTTTAGATTGAATTTTTTTTTTCTTTATTGATTAGTTGTTTTTTATTGTTTTTATTCTTAATTTATCTTAGTTTTATTTTTTTTACTTTTTGATTTTTTTTTAGGATGTTAGTGCATGACCCGTAGTAGTGGTGGTGATCTTGTTCCATTTGATCCAAAAATTGAGAGAACTTTTAGGGAGTTTTTAAGAGAGCAAAAGCATAACATCATGGTAGAAGAAGGACAAAATAATGCACGCACTATTGGTTCATATGCCACCCCATCCCTTGAAGGAATAGCATCCAGCATTAGGAGGCCAGCGATTCAAGCCAATAACTTTGAAATCAAACCAGCTACCATTCAAATGATCCAACAAACTGTCCAATTCAGTGGTTTGCCTAATGAAAATCCTTATTCTCATATTGCTAGTTTTCTTGAAATTTGCGATACTTTTAAGGCTAATGGTGTTAGTAATGAGTCTGTTAGGCTTACATTATTTCCATTTTCTTTGCGTGATAAAGCCAAGAGTTGGCTTCAATCTTTTCCTGCAGGTCATTTTACCATATGGAATGTTTTGGTAGATAAATTCATAGCTAAATTTTTTCCTCCTTCGAAAACAGCTAAGTTGAGAAATGACATTACTACTTTTGTTCAATTTGATAATGAGTCATTATATGAGGCATGGGAAAGATTTAAGGAATTGCTTAGGCAATGTCCAAATCATGGTTTACCTGTTTGGCTCCAAATGCAGACTTTTTATAATGGTATGACTCCTCCTAATCGTTCTATAATTGATGTAGCTGCAGGGGGTAATCTTATGAATAAGACAGAGGAGGATGGTTATAAGCTGTTAGATGAAATGGCCTCTAATAGTTATCAATGGACTAATGATAGAGCTACCAAAAAGGGAGTTGGTTTACGTAATGTTGATGCTTTTACTTCTTTATCTGCTCAAATTTCTGCTTTGAATAAAAAGTTAGATAATTTAGGAGCATCAGCAATGAGTATTTCATCTAATAGTTGCTGTGAATTGTGTGGGCAATTTGGTCATGCTAGTGTTGAATGTCAAGTAGGCAATTCAATTCAATCTTCTAATGAGCAAGCTAATTTTGTTTCTTCTGGTGGTAGGTCTAATTTTAATCCATACTCCAACACCTACAATCCAGGATAGAGGAGCCATCCTAATTTTTCATGGAGTAATAATCAAGTGAGAGTACCACCAGGTTTTTAGCAGCAAAATCAGCAAGAAAAGAAGCCAAATTTGGAGGAGTTGGTGCACAAATTTGTTAGTAGTACAAAAATAAGGTTTCAAAATCAAGATGCTGCTATTTGGAATATAGAAACGCAACTTGGACAGATTGCTGATATGGTTTCTGGAAGAGTTCAAGGGGGTTTGCCAAGCAATAGTGAAAAGAATCCAAGGGAGCAATTAAAGGCTATCACTTTGATGAGTGGGAAAGAACTTAAAAAGGTAGGACAATCTGATGGGAAAGAAGAAGGTGTGGAAGATGGTGAATCAAAGCAAGAGGAGGAGCCTAAAAGACTTTTTCATGATCCAAATGTCAAGCCTTATAAGCCGAAAATTCCTTTTCCCCAAAGATTTTTGCAAGCTAATTTAGACAAGCAGTTTTCTAAATTTTTAGAGGTGTTTAAAAAATTACATATTAATATTCCTCTTATTGATGCTATTTCGCAGATGCCAAGGTATGCAAAATTTTTGAAGGAGATCCTTGCCAATAAAAGGAAGTTAGAGGAGTTCGAGATGGTGAAGTTAAATGAAGAGTGCTCTACTATTCTTCAGAATAAATTACCTCCTAAGTTGAAGGATCCAGGGAGTTTTTCTATTCCTTGTATTATTGGCAATGTTAATTTTGATAAGGCTTTGTGTGATTTGGGTGCTAGCATTAATTTGATGCCTTTTCATGTATTTAGGAAACTTGGATTAGGAGAACCTACACCTACCACAGTTTCTCTTCAATTGGCAAATATGAGCATTAAATATCCAAGAGGAGTGGTAGAGGATGTTTTGGTAAAAGTTGATAAATTTATCTTTCCTGTTGATTTTATTGTTCTTGACATGGAAGAGGATTTTGAAATGCCTTTGATTCTTGGTAGACCGTTCCTTGCTACTGGTAGAGCGCTTATTGATGTTCAACAAGGGAAACTTAGCCTTAGAATACATGATGAGGAGATTGTTTTTAATGTGTTTGATGCTATGAAAAATTGTAATCATGATGGTAGTACTGTTTTAAGGATTGATGTGGTAGACAGTGTAGTGGCTGAAAATTTTAATGCTTCTAGATTAGATGATCCTATTGATAATTGCATTGTTAATGCTTTGGATGTGAAAGTTGATAGTGCAGACAATAACATTTTGGTGGCAGCAGCTATTCTTGGGGAAAAATGCCATAGGCAGCCACAAAAAGGAGGGAATTTTTTGCCCTTAGATGCACCGTCCACTGTGATAGTCAAGCCATCCAAAGAGGAGCCCCCTACTCTTGAATTAAAACCTCTTCCTTCTCAATTAAAGTATGTTTATTTGGGTGATTCAAATACCTTACCTGTTATAATTTCTGCTTCTTTGACAGGAATAGAGGAGGAGAAACTCTTAAGGGTGTTGCGAGAACACGAAGGAGCTATAGGATGGAGCATAGCGGATATTAAAGGAGTTAGCCCTTCGGTTTGCATGCATAAAATCTTGTTGGATGAGGGGCACAAGCCGATTGTTCAGCCTCAAAGACGCCTTAATCCTAACATGCAAAAGGTGGTAAAAAAGGAGGTAATCAAATGGTTGGATTCAGGTATTATTTTTCCTATCTCTGATAGTACTTGGGTGAGTCCTGTGCAAGTAGTGCCTAAAAAGGTTGGGACAACTGTGGTAAAAAATGAAAATGATGAATTAATTCCCACTAGAATAATAACAGGGTGGAGAGTGTGCATAGATTATAGGAAACTTAATGAAGCTACTAGAAAAGACCATTATCCACTGCCATTTATTGATCAAATGATTGAAAAACTTGCTGGACATGAATATTATTGTTTTTTGGATGGTTATTCTGGTTATCATCAAATTCCTATTGCTCTTGAGGATCAAGAGAAAACAACATTTACTTGCCCATATGGTACTTTTGCTTTTAGACGAATGCCTTTTGGTTTGTGCAACGCTCCAGGTACGTTCCAAAGATGTGTGATGGCTTTATTTGCTGAATTTGTTGATGAGTTCATGGAAATTTTTATGGATGATTTTTCAGTTTTTGGCTCTTCATTTGATGGATGCTTACATAATCTATCTAGGGTGCTTAAAAGATATGAGGAAACTAACCTAGTATTGAATTGGGAAAAATGCCATTTTATGGTTAGGGAAGGTATAGTGCTAGGTCATAAAGTATCCTCTAAAGGTATTGAAGTTGATAGAGCTAAAGTTGAGATAATTGAAAAGCTTGCTCCTCCTAAATCAATTAAAGAATTTAGAAGTTTTCTTGGACATGCTGGTTTTTATAGGAGATTTATTAAGGACTTCTCAAAAATTGCTAAGCCTCTTACTAATCTCTTGGTTAAGGAAACACCATTTTTCTTTGATGATGATTGTATGAATGCTTTTCAATTGTTGAAAGAGAAATTGGTTAATGCTCCTATTGTTGTTGCACCTTGTTGGGATTTACCTTTTGAGATAATGTGTGATGCTAGTAATGATGCTTTAGGTGCAGTTTTGGGACAAAGAAAAGATAGAAAATTTCACACCATTTATTATGCAAGTAGAACAATGAATGATGCTTAAAAGAATTACACTACTACTGAAAAAGAGTTGCTTGCTGTGGTGTTTGCTTTTCAAAAGTTTAGGCCTTATCTAATTTTGTCCAAGGTGATTGTTCATACTGATCATTCTGCACTTAAATATCTGCTTGCTAAAAAAGATGCCAAACCTAGGTTGTTGAGATGGATTTTGTTGCTACAAGAGTTTGACTTAGAAATTAAGGATAGAAAAGGTGTAGAAAATTCTGTTGCTGATCATTTGTCCAGGTTAGATGAGGTGCATGTGGAATGTGGGGATGATCAATTTTTGCTTGATGAGTTTCCAGATGAGCAATTGTGTTTAGTTTCTTTGTGTGCTTTGTCTTCTTTACCTTGGTACGCAAATTTTGTTAATTATCTTGTTGTCTTACCCCCTAACTTGTCTTTTCAACAGAAAAAGAAGTTCTTTTCTGATATTAAACATTATTTGTGGGAGGAACCATTTTTTTACAAGATATGTGGTGATGGAATGATTCGGAGATGTGTACCACAAGAAGAGATAGATGCTATTTTGAGTTTTTGTCATGACAAAGAAGCTGGTGGTCATTGTGGTGCCTCCAAAACAACATCTATGGTTTTGCAATGTGGATTTTATTGGCCTTCTTTATTTAAAGATACTTATGCTTATGTGAATGCATGTGACCAATGTCAAAGAACTGGTAATATTTCTAGGAGACATGAAATGCCTTTGACTAATATTTTGGTGTGTGACATATTTGATGTTTGGGGGATAGATTTCATGGCTCCTTTTCCTTCATCTTTTGGCAAAGCATATATTCTTGTTGCGGTAGATTATGTGAGTAAATGGGTAAAGGCTATTGCATGTCCTACTAATGATGCTAGGGTGGTAGTTAAATTTTTTAAGAGTAATATTTTCACTAGATTTGGCACACCTAGGGCTGTTATTAGTGATGGAGGTAAACACTTCTGTAATAGGCAATTTGAAAATTTATTGGCTAAATATGGTGTTACCCATTAAATTGCTACTCCATATCACCCTCAAACAAGTGGACAAGTTGAGGTGTCTAACAGGGAATTGAAAAGAATTTTGGAAAAAACAGTTAACTTGTTTAGGAAAGATTGGTCACTCAAATTAGATTATGCACTTTGGGCTTATAGGACAGCTTACAAAACTTCGATAGGTATGTCTCCTTATAGGTTAGTTTTCGGTAAGGCTTGTCACCTTCCTGTGGAACTTGAGCATAAGGCATATTGGGCTATTAAATACTTGAATTTTGATTTGAAAGATGCAGGTGAACATAGAAAATTGCAGTTGAATGAATTGGAAGAATTACGACTTGCTGCCTATGAAAATGCCAAGATCTACAAGGAACGAACCAAGGCATGGCATGATCTACATGTGCAAAAGAAAGAGTTTCACGTGGGTGACAAGGTTCTTCTTTTCAATTCTCGATTGCGACTCTTTC